CCTTTCTCTTCCCCAGACCAATAGAGACGCACTGAGGAGCCAGGCTAGGACCAACAACAGCAGGCCCAACAGCGCCATGAGCTAATGATAGTGCACCTCTGGAGAAAGACCAACACAGAATCAGGAAGAGACAAAAGCATGATTTTAAAACTGACAAAGAAAATCTTATGCACTATGGATTTCTTATGATTAATCTGTTTAATCAGCATGAGCATACAATGAGCCTATAAATTATATGGAAGACAGAGATATGATGCACTTAATGGAAATCTCTGTTATTAAATATAAATCTATTTTTACAGCTACAGTGACATATATTTGACATCACTTCCCATTAGTAAAAAATGTCTGTTGTATGTATTTACAAATAATCATAATCTGATTTACACCATTGTTACAAGTTCTGATAAAACCTTTTCTAAAATATTTCTAGAGAAGATATTTTAAAAGAAAACTTGTTTTCTAAACAAAGAAGATGAAAAGATACAGCCTAAAAAGTGATGTTCTTACTCCATCTAGTGGTAAGAAACTGCACTTTACCCACTAACTGGTGTGTGTGTTTTAAGCAAGCCATAAAAAAACTTTTTATCAATATGGACTAAATAAAAGCCTAAAGTTGACAAATGCACTTGAATATGTAACATATTTAAAACCCTGATGGCATAAAATGTTAGTATAACATAACATGAATGCCACTAGGTTAATTAATTAGGCTGCTGATGCAAAATTCTCCAAGTATATCTCAAAACTATAATTTCTTAACTCATAAAATACATGAAAAATCATTGTTATTAAAGTGAAGGGGAATTGCACTTCAGGTAAAATTATGCCATTTGAGCATGCAGGAAAGTGCTCAGGAATTACCAGTGTCCTTTAGACGTCAGATTTGCCTGAGCATATGTGCGGACTGCAGTGAGTAATGGCTCATCCACCTGACAGGGCTTTTTGTTGGAGTCTCCAGGAAGTCCACATGAAGCTCCAGCTCCTCCTGTAGGGGCCAACCACAGTGCACTTAGAGGCAGCGTTCCTTGCCAACAGAAGATATAGCAGCAATTAGGAAAACAATAGGGGAGGGCGCGGGTGATTATAGCACGAAAGCTGTAATAGGCAGCATCCGGCTTTCACATTGTCATTTTGAAAGGCCACAAGTAGCATCCGAAAAACAGGCCTGTTAGATTTCAAAATGAGATTGGATGCATGTGGGGAAAAAAACTACATGACAAATATAATGTGTTTAGATTTTTGTACTTGCTTCAATTGCTTGCAAAAAATATTTTTTTAACTTTTGCTGTTGGATAATGTGTGTCCTGTCTGCATTTCTTGGAATTTTATCATTTTATACAAACCCTAAATTGTTATCATCCATCCTACAATTTCCACTTAATTACTACAAACGAAAGGAAAACACAAAACACAAAAATATTGAATAACAAAGCACTACAGTAATTTGAAAGGAATAATGCCATTTTTAATACTTTGATGGGTGCAACATCAATAGACATATTAGTTTAAAGTACAATAATAACTTTAAAATAGAACAGTCAACAATAAATAAATAAAATAAAATGGCATTCCTCCATTTTTGGCATATTTTTGATGCTGATTAGAATCCTCACTTGCATTTCTAAAGCAGAAAAACTGTTTGGCAATAGCACCCATCAAAGAAGGCCCTGCCCACAAGTGTCCACCACCTTTTCTAATTTAAAATTCTTGGTTTATTCATCCATCTTAATGAGATCAAACATGCAGCTCCTTCTGCAAGTCAGCTTTGATTAACGCATGTTGCATTCACACACAGAAATTTTACTCTTCTGCATAAACACAGAAGATTTAAGTAAATGTTGGCAAATTAAGATATTTTTAAGAAAACAAGCCTACACCTATTGAACAGCGGTGATGCATGTTCCAGTGATGTCTTTCACTTTGTGTTCAAAATATGTGAGTTTACGTCAATCACAAATGATAAAGTCTTTGTTTTGTGCACCTAATGTTACCACAAAACACCTTGCCCACTTTGCATTCAAGGTAAAGTTAAAACGTCTCATCAAATTTTCTTCCAAATGCGGCTGTGAAGAGGAGCGTGCTACATGCAGCGAGACGTTCAAGGACAGTCGGATTCACCACAAAGAGCGTGCCATTTTTACTCTGCCTACAGCTATGACTTTGATTGAATTCTGAAATGAGCTGAAATGTCACAAATCCTCCCAATATGTTTGAAAATGAAAATTGGCCTTGAGGCTTGAGAGTTTTCTATTAAAGGTGTGCTTAACACCTTCTGTTAAGCGTGGTTAGACTGTGTCAAAAATGCAACATAATTACTCATCTGTGTGCTCTTAAGCAAATGCCCCAGTCTGGAGTCTTTTTGGAGCTTCTCTCAATGGGACACTATAAAGCAAAAGCAGTCAATGTGCACTGCACTATTAACACTTTCCCCTTTGTGTTTCTGTTTGAGCACAAAAAAAGATATGTAATTAAATCCTTAACAACCATTTAACCAGAAAATATAATTAAAATGTTTTAGACAGTCAGAATCCTTGTATTTAAAAAAAAAAAAAAAATCTATATTCTACAAAGAACATCGCCATCATGTGGCCCTAAAATCCTGGCCTGATTTTACCACAGAATTGTCAAGCCCTTATCTGGGGCTACTCATCATGAGAAAAAATGGGGACAGCTTTACAACAATGTGGCACCCGTTAATATGCAGCAATCTACGTCTGTGCAATTTTAAACAAACTGCCAAAAGCTAGTTTCCAAATATAAAACATCTCTCTTACACAATTTCTTTTTGAACCAATAACCTAGCATTTGGAGAAGTGTGTCTAGCACTAAAACACTGGTTTGATCCATCTATCCTCCTTGGTCTCCTGTGCTCATGTCTCAGGTAGACTGTATTTTCAGGAAACATGAAAATGACTCCCCTTGCTGCTTAGTATTCACGTCACGCAAAGTGGGTCTGTGTTCCTCATTTAGCGGCGTACTGTACAGCTGGGGAGCTGTCCTGCGCACAGCGGAGGCTCTATGCAAATGACTGTGGATTTGAATGGAGATGGAGGTAGACACAAAGCTCAATTAGAGCCTGGAGAGAGGAAGACGGAGTATGTGTGTGTGTGTAGGGGGTCTTGATTCTGGTGGAGGGGGAGGGGAAAGAGGAAAAACCCTTTGGCTGTTTAATGCCAACCTGAAGAAAAGCAGCTCAGACACATTTGAATATAAACAAATGCAAAAGCAAGAAAAATGTAGTAAATTCTGCAGCTAATCTCAGAGGGGCAAAGACATCTCACGCTGTGATGTATTTCAATCACTCTAGAAGATCCTGAATCATCTGTTAAACCCACAAAATAAAAAAGAGATTGGATTTTTCCCCTCAAACACACACACGCACACACACACACACACACACACACACACACATGCACACACCAAAAAAGCTCTAAATAATATATAGCCATGACAGAAAAAAATATATTCACAAATAATAAATAATTATTTTCCAAGCAATCAAAGACAATGCATCTACAGAATCTATGCACACAGCTGGCAACAGCAGAAACAACTAGAATTCAATTTGCAAATTTCGGAGAAAATCACAATAAGGATAATATTTTCAAACAGCTCATAAACAGAGGATCCCAAACCAACAAGTGAAAACTAAAGGCCAAAAATCAGTGCACTTTTCCGTATCAAACTCAAAAGAACTAAAAGGCCCGACCACCATTTTGATTCAAGTCAATGCCCGGCAGCAGTACATTGCACCTGACCCAACGCCTGAATGTCCTTGGAGAAGTCTCTCATCCACACTGCCACCCTGGGTTACCACAGCAACGGCCATGCAAATAAGAGGGGGGCAGGGCGCCTATATGCAAAATGAAGGGCAAAATAATTAATATGCACCAATACACAGTTTGAGCCAAGATTTAATTAATTTGTTCATGTGTGAAGCAAAACGGGATTGAAGTCTGCAAAGACACATCCCATTTTAATAGTCAGACAAGAGTGCCGTATATAATACAATATTCCAAAGAATCTAAGGTATAAGGTATTAGCTTTTGTGCTTATTTTACAAAGCCATATGTGGATGTTTTGTGCTGCTGGTTAAATATCACAGATATAGTTCAATAATGTTGTCATGTCACTTCAGAGATTAATGTAGTAATAAGAGGCCTCCATGTGGTTAAATATATTTATGTAAAGCCCTTCTCAAAATTGTTGATGTAACCAAAAAAAGTTTGAAAATCAGACACTGAAACGGTCTTTAGTCAATAAAAGACATAAGCAACATCCACAGTAAACAGTTAAATGAACTGTCCCAGGACTGTCTTTTGACCCTCTTTCTTGACAAAAAAACAAAAAACAAAAACAAAACAAAAAAAAACTAATCACAGAGGTTACAAATAAAATATAATGCCTCAAAATACCACCTGTGGGTTCAAAGTGCATGTATAATTATTTCGTGCCTGTCACTGCAAAACTGAATAACATAACAATTGTAATCCCCTTTGACTACAGAGCATAAAGACACAGTAAAGAATAATAATGCACATATAAGCATTAGCTATTGAATTGTTATAAATGGGTTCAATATACTGTATCCTTAAAACCTCAAAAATGTGAAATAAAAGACAGAAAAGAGTTCAGAAAGTGCGATGTAGGCGAACTTATAGGCCAGGCAATCTGCAATAAGTCTGTCAAAATTGTGCCATAGAAAAAAAACGTGTTATCCAAACTGACAACGTGAACGAGCGCATGACGCATTGCGCGCACACATGCTACAGTAAACGTTGCAACGCTCTCATCAATAATGCATTGGCGCTTCATGTTTATGCATTTCAGACAGACACCAGCCATATTGTAGTCTTGTAGTCCTGCTTACTGGATTTTTAAACCGACCGTACAACCACATGCGTTTTACAAAACAAACAGATGAGACAGCGAAGCCGAAAAGGGCACAGAGAAACGCAAAGATTAAGATAGTAAAAGCGCCATAATGCAATACGTACCTGTTAAAAGCAACATTTCTTTGGTTTCGCCGTTAATGCGGGCTTGAAGGGTTTCATGATAGCGCCGCACTAAGGAAATAAAAGCGTATCTGAGGTGATATGCAAATTAAAGGCTCCCGCTGAGTACACGGGCATTTATTATTCATAAATGACTCATGTTTATGCAAATGACGGTATACGGAGACACGGGAGGGGGTTGAGTGGCTCCGTCTAAACATGTACATGTGATTTCTGTTCCACACGTCTACTCTGAATCCATGCATTTCACTGATTGATTTGGCAGTCATTTTAAAACTTATGATAAAGCATAGTAATACCATTTTGAAATCTTGCTCCAAAACAACGTTATTATTGGAATTACATTACACTGCGTTGTAGCTGGCACTCATCCTACATTTTTTCTAAAACACTCCTTACAATAAATGCTTACAACCGATGTGGAAAAAACTTACCAAAAACAACAACACGCGCTCAACTCTGGAGAACGTTTGTCTACGTCATCAAAAAAGCGACGCTAGAGGGAGGATGTTCTTCTGCGACTTGTGTTGGCTTTGAAACAAGAGGATTTAAACTGGTTCTAACATTTCAGTTACTTTCTCATCGCAGTCTTTTATTATTATTATTATTATTATTCCTTCTATATCTGGTATTGCCATTAACGGAGAAGACATCTCAGAGTGTTATATTTCTTAAACAAAACAAACAAGTGTCAATGCTAACAGGCTAACACACTCCTCACTGTTGTTTTTGCTGCTTGTTGAGAAAGTGAGAGTAGTCGTGATGTTCCACAGTAGTTCTCATAAAAAGTACTGGATATTTAAGAGCGAGGACGAACTCGAGTTATTAAGATGTGAGGCCAATCAGAAGTTTTGCAAGAAAGTAATGGAAACAGTCAAGGTAAAAGCTTTAACACTTGTCTTGGGGACATTTCATATATTAACTATAATATACATATATATAATAAATATTTTTTAAACAGCCTGGGGTTAACGATTCCATATTCTTGAAGCGGCACGAAGAAGACGTTTTATTCAGACTCTATGAGAAGAGGCTTCTTGACTTCTGCAACGTTTTCAAGCCTGCCATGCCCAAATCTGTTGTGGTATGTGTAAACCAAAGTTTGACTTAATTCGAAATGCTCCACCTTTCTTTAATTCTGACATGTGTAGGGTACAGCCCTCATGTACTTCAGAAGATTCTACCTCAACAATTCTGTCATGGAGTATCATCCAAGAATTATTATGTAAGTTTTCAGTATAATCCCTATCAAAAGGCTATATCTGATTGTGATGTGTTTTAGGCTGACGTGTGCATACCTCTCATGCAAAGTGGATGAGTTCAATGTCTCAAGTGGCCAGTTTGTGGCCAACCTTGTCCATGAGACCTCTGCGGGACAGGAGAGAGTAGCAGAGCAGATCCTGGAGTATGAGTTACTTCTGATTCAGCAACTTAACTTCCACCTAGTGGTCCACACTCCTTACAGACCCATGGAGGGTTTGCTCATTGACCTGAAGGTAAAGATATGGTGTACAATAATACTTGTGACTGCTCTAAAAAGTTAACACTTATTAACACATTATTTTATTCATAGACCAGGTACCCTACACTGGAAAACCCTGAGTCTCTGAGGAAGAATGTTGATGACTTCCTGACACAGGCTTCTTTGACAGATATAGGATTGCTCTTCACTCCATCACAGATTGCTTTAACAGCAATTCTGAGCAGTGCATCACGAGCTGGACTTAACATGGAGAGGTATGTCTAAAATGCCATAGTCTTAATTCACTGAAGTCATCAATAGAGCTGGTAAATGCCATGCATGTGTTCCTAGTTACATTACTGAATGCCTGGGCTTAAAAGAGGACAAGCAGAATCTCTCAAAGATGTACGATTCTATGAGACGTGAGTAGACTCGGTTCCACTTAACTGCCACCAGATGGCAGTAGAGATCTGCATACGCCTTTGAACTCCTATTGTCCCACTTTAATAGGAATGAAAATTCTTATGAAGAAATATGAACTTCCTAATCCAGAAGAAGTGAACATGTACAAGCAGAAGCTGGAGAGGATACATGCTGAATTTGTCCCAAGCTCAAGCAAGTAAGGGTGGCCTTTTTTGTGATAGTCTTAGACTGTAAGAAGAAATTGTTGCAGAATATTTACATTATTTAACATTAAAGTTTAATTTACTTAACTTTAAATAGGTACTTTCATTGGTCTTTTAAAAATGTTAGTGTCGTTTTCAAAGCACTTCATGCAAGCAATCCATGCAAGATATTTCCCACAACTCACTCATGTACTTTTTATTTTCAAGTTGTTGTATCTAAGATGCAAAAAGGTTCAAGGTTCAGTATCAGGTAGAAAAATAAAAAGGAACACATCAGCTGTATGAAAAAAGACAAAAAGCACTATAGCACGCCACATTCCTACCTACATCATCCATACGACATAGCATAGTTGATATTGGAATAATATTTGAATAATAATCACTTCAAAAACAGACATTTAGGCTCAGTTGTGAGTTTGCTGTCCTTGAAAGTCTTTGAAACACTTGGTGAGGTCGGTGAGGTCCGTGGTATCTTAAGTGCAGCTACAGTAAACAGTTTGGGAACTTGAACTATGACAGGCACAGATTCAGACTTTTCAGCTGATCAAAAACTTAAGACTAAAAGCTTATAATAAATCTGTGCATGGCATGTCTTTTGTGGTGATTAACTACCTGAAAACAGTCAGTGCAGGGATGATAGAGTAAGGAACTGCAAATGCATAAATGTTTTTCCACCCAGATAAGGTGATGTTAGAGCAGCATGTAGAGAGAATAGGCCCACACACTAAGTTCAGTCAGGGTTAGCACATGCACATTACAAAAGTCTGGACTAGCGTTTTAGCTACACAAAACCTTGTTACTTTACAGTTGTATGTATGTACGGAAAAATAAATCAATGTAAGTTTGTTTTGGGCAACTTCTATGAAAAAGACATTGGAAGTCATTGATGGATGCAAGGAAGAGCTTGCAAACAGTGTAGTGTATATAAAGGGGGTTAAGGCTTGTATTGTCTAGGAAAGAGGTTACAATTCCCTGATGACAGCAGATAATGCTACTTCATTGCTTTGGATTCCTATTTGTTCATTTTTATCCAAACCATGACATAATTTAAAGGTAAAGTGGCCTGGCTCCCTGTCCTGTGACACACTGACTTGTAGTTGAAACATTTTGGGAAGGGCTTTGGGAGGTCAGATATGCAGCAGGTGGATTCTCATAGAACTGTCATATTGAATAGGACTAACAGGAGCAGAGGCCACACGCTTAATACAGACTCGGGTCTTCTTCAGGCTGAAGGCTGTGTGGTTCAGCTGCCACTGACTCCCAGGTGGAAGTCTGCTTGCACCTCACATTACCTGGATAGCAGCAGCCAGAGACATGATGGTGCACTCTGTCCTGGAAAATAAAGTTGATAGGTTTGTCGAAAGCACAGTTCTCACCAATTGCATAGGTTTGGCCCAGCTTGGCTTGGCAGTGCTAAAACTAGATGTTCAACACTAAAACTAGTGATGATGATATGGAAACTATGAAAAACAACAAATGTAAAACATATTGGTACTTTCAGCAAACGGAAAAGAGGATATGAAGAAGACGGACATGTAGCAAAAGAACCACGCATAATAGAAGAGGTAAAACGCTTTGAAAAATAGTATTGGGCAAATTCTATTATTTACGTCGATTTCTACTTTTCACAGGAGCTGTCTGATGAAGATCTGATATGAAAGGAGTTAAATGCACTGCATTAATGTACATTTGTATGTTACTGTTCAAAATAAAACATATTTTTAAGTAGCTCTGAATGTTTGTAATGTTCTATAAAAATGTTCTATTTGTTAACTTTTCTCCAGGACAGCACAAATGACGACTCTGGGCTACTTTACAAAACTGTTTAATAAGTGCATGCATGTCTGATACAGTTTGGACTATTTAAAAAATCAGCTGTAAACTCTTAACTTGGTTTCTGAGTATGTCTGGCAGGTTCAATAAAGACCAAATAATCACTGAAAGCTGATACAACTGAAAAAAGTAATAAACTCAGTTTATCTCACTTATATACTCATGATTCCAGCAAGAGAAATTATTCTTAATATAAAATAGCCATACTTTTGTAAAAGACTTTGCTCCAATCTAGAAAACAAAGAAAATAATGAAACACAATGCCAGTTTCAGCACTTTGCAGATATTGTCACAAGTTTAAAATAAATCAGTCGCTAATTACAGTATAAAAGCATAATCCAGTTACAAGAATGGTGGGCAAAGAGGACTACCATGTCCGATTCCTTGTAAAGGGGAAGGGCATACTTTGGCAACTTTTGCTATCAACACATAGCAGTTAACACTTACAAAATTTGGCCCTTATGGTAAAGGGAATGAAATGTACCCAAAAAGGAATCAAAATGAGCAAAACCCTTGTTTTGCCAAGCACTGTCTGATTGTGCTTAGCTGTTGTTGCATAGCTTTCTTGAGGCAAACAGGACAGACAACAGGTAGACCAGAAAGAGGGTGTGGCTACTGGAAGGACATGATGAAAGATGGAGATGTTGCCATGGTGATGAGGGTGGAGCATGCTCGGTCTGGTCTGGTCCCTTGGAGACTCGGTGGGAGGATGGGAGGAGAGAAGAGGGAGGGCAGTACTACCTGTTGCTGTTGGACATGGCATACTGAGCTTGCTTTTGTTGGAGGAGCTCTGTGATGGCCAGTAGCTTTTTCAGCACATGCTGTAACAAACAAGCACAGAAAAACAGATAAAATTAAATAGTTTGTCAATTTCATGTCACCATTGCAAAAATGCAGATAGATCTTGTATAAAAATTAGATGAGATGTGATGATTAAAACACTAAGACATTTGGCAATGGTTGTTTAGGGCATTCATCACTGTCACAAACACACATTTTCCCCCAAATTGCCTGTCATACAGTTGTGTTGTGATTGTTGTCCCTTTTTTGTCTTTGTTGTGTCTCGTGATTATCGTTTGGTTGTGTTGCTGACCTGCTGAGCCCCCCTCTCGTTGCTCAGAGTGCGCAGCTCATCTGAATGTGTGGCACAGACCTCGTGCAGCGCGGCCAGGTCCCGGGACAGGTCTGTCCTAAAGTGCTCAGTCGTGTCAGGGAGTTCAGGGACATTCTGGAGAACAATGCAATTGAATATTAAACATCAAATATAATTAAACAAGTGTTAATTAAAAGTAAAACTTGACTTACCCCTAACTCATCCAGGAACATAATCATCCTATGTTTGTTGTTTTTAATAAATGGATTAACACCCTCCATATAGGGCTCCTGTTTATTTAAATTACAAAGACATTTATCATTTGTATTATTTTTCATTGTTTAATATAAATTGTATATGTATTTTAAATACCTTGGCACCAAATTCTACCAGGTTGGCAAGATTCTGGACTGACTTAGCCACTAATGTGAGTGTCCTGACTGCTGTTGTAGATGGTGGATCTGAAAGATAACATTTATTGTAACATAGTATTTTACAATAAAACAGTTATGTGCTTAAACAGGTTGAAGAAAACCCACCAGCAATTATATTAAACATTCTTGGATTGAGGATGGCTGGACAGATTAGCCTTAGAAAGACAAATCCACTACAAAAAATAGAATTTCTGAGTTGCATTAAAAAAATTTTTAAAAAACTGAAGAATGGTTGTATGGGTTTCTGTTGTTTACCTCACGACTCTTGTCCGCATGGTGGTGTTTGTGGGCCATTTCTGCTGTACTGACTTTTGTAGACAACCATAGATATATCTCAGTGTCCTGAATGGAAATAATTTGTAAACATAAGAAGGCAATCCAAATACAGTGTGAATGTGACTTTAGTTCTTACGGTGGAAGTATCTCAGCAGCCATGAAGATCTTTTCCACCAGTTCAGACAAGATGTTGAGCAGATGAGCCAGGTTTAGATTCACATCCTCATTTTTTTCAAGTTTGGATGGATTTAGCTAAAAATTAAAACAAAGCAATAAATAAAAACAAAACATGAGACTAAAACATGAAAAAAAAAAAGCTTTGCTTTCTTTCTTTTTTTACCTCACACGACTGTTTACTCTCCATGATCTTGAGGATGGTGTCTTTCAGTGCGTGGTGGACAAACGGAGTGGCTGTAGCTTTCATGTACTGCTCCATCAGCGTGCTGGCCAGTGTGGTGGCCCGGAACAGAGTTGTGGCCTCATCTAGATAAGACAAAATACAGAGTTGATGATAATATACTCAAAATATCATCATAAGGCAAATATCTTAAGGTGAGATTTAGACAGTTGACCAAATTCTGCACTTTTTATTTCATAATTTGTTTCATAACTTGCAATCTCTTCTGACTGTATTGTGTGACATGTGCTATCAATGTTGTAAATTGACCAAAAATTTAGAACTACATTTGATGTATCTTTTTTGTGTGTGTTTAGCTGGGCACAGGTGGCATTTTAGCTCTAAAACTGAAAAGTTTAAAATCTAATTGAAAACACCTTTATAGTCTGCACTGGCAAAATATTTTCTTACCCTCCATGTTGATTTCTCTGTCGTTGAGCGTCCTGAGTAATGGAGCTTCAGCCTTCTCGTGTCTAAAGATGCGCAGTAACAGACTGGCCAGCAGGGTGCGATCTTGGCCACACACGTGGGCCAGAGCATAGATAACATGGAACTCTTTTTGTAAGATCATCTACAAATAAAACAAGAAAATATAAGATATGAACTTAAATAAATACTGTACCAGAAACCTGACCTCTTTGAACTCATTGTACTCCTCTTCGGGCATGATCTTCTCCATGGAGTAACGTGCCCGCACCCTCAGAGACCCCGGCTCGATGCCCTTCAGAGGCACATGGGAGCTGAGGGGGAACCACTCGTCAATCATCTGGCCCTTTTGTAAACGGTTCAGCTGACAGCGCATAAACACTTGAAGAAGAGAAAAGAGAGTAGAAGTTACAGTCTAAACACACAAATATTTAAACAGTTAAAAAGGTCTGGGCTTACATATGTCACTTTCTTTGCTCTTTTTTGTTTTGTTGCTTAGACTGATTTCAAATCTATTAATTTCATTTGATAAATCACTGAAAAAGAGAACAATACAGGTTTGGATTACACAAGAAATTAAAGAAGATAAAATGTAAAGGATTAGGAGTGAGACTGACTCAAAAATGAACTCCTCTGTGAACACTGGATTCTGTCCCTCTCGTGGATGTGTCTTCGCCACTTGCACACTGTTCAGGTAGATGTTACAGTATGGGTTTGTGAAGTACTTGACAGGCAGTTTGTGAGCCTCCTCCACATAGAGGACCAGACTGCTCACCTGGAACAAATGCATATACATATACAGGCTTTATATGTATACAGTTTTAGCAATTTAATAAACTAAAAAGCAGTACAATTGTGCTGTTAATATATTATGATGATTTATACAAATGCAAATCTAGAAACCATTTGTTTACCTGTCTCAGCCTTTTGTTTGTTGTGGGAGCAGTGGTTTTTCTTAGGTTACTGCAAAAATCCTGAAGGCATTTCATCCAATCCTGCACGATAAATGATACGTGAAAATGACATTGTCCATATCAATTAAAAACAATACAATGAAACTAACTTCAGTGTTGTGAGTTAACTTTGTACCTGTGCATGTTCTGGAGCTTCACTAGCAAAGTAGAAAATGTACTGTTCCTCACTAAAGTGCTGGACAACAATCTGAAAACAGTTTGGCCTAAAAAGGAGAATGAGAAACATTACTGTATTTCGTCATTTCATTCATAGATATATTTATTTGAGTCCCCAGGTCCAGCTCTGCTCACCTGCCAAACAGACTGTCGTGAACCCCGTACACCGAGCACACACTCAGGTCAATCAGCCCTTTGGGTTTGGTGGCTCTCTTCTCACTCTCAAAGTAAATGAGCTGGGCATCATTTCCCTCAAGAATGAAGTACAGGTTTTTCCAACGCTTTCCTTTTCCTGTTGATAGAAAAGCACAGATATATTTGCAATGTCTGTCTAAAGTGTCAGTATTACCAAAATAAATCCATACCTTTGTTGAACAAGAGGTAGCCTTTCTTGACAATATTTTTGTAGAAAGCATCTTTTGGTTTTCGCCTGATAGTGTTATAGATTTCTCTTCCATCCACTGTGTCATTAATGACTTGTTCCTGGTGCTAAACAAACCTAATGTTAATACCTAGTTTTGCTTGTCAATTATAAAATGAAAATAAAAACACCTCATACATACTTGGACTGACACTGGGTCTTTAAGGTTGTAGCCCTCGACAATTTGCTCTTTTTTATAGTGTTCAATTATGTCATCAACACTGCCATAAAAACAAAACAACAGTGACTTTACATAAATCCTCAAATTCAGCTTAATATTACTTCTAAAGATTTCTGAAGACATGCTTACACACCTGTTGTAGTACCTCCCTCCCATCATGTACTGATTGTTTGGGGTGGGGGAGATCTTAAACCTTTGGATGTTTTCATTGGTGCGAAAAAATAGGGAGTAGTCTCCCGGCGTGTTGTCCGAGGGTCGCACTAGAAAGCTGCACACCTGGCCCACTGAAATAACGAGCGCATGTTCAGCAGTTTGTTTATTTAAATAAATCGGTTTGTGCTGCTCACAGCAGAATTTTGACAAAAGATGCACATTAACATTGCTCTAGTTTCATAGTTGTGTTTGATCGATGTCAGTGAAGAAGCGTACCTGTCATGAGGAGGTTATAGGCCTCTTGTTTGGTAATCTTTCCATGGTACCAGCTACACACAAATGAATGCGTTAGAAAAGAAACAAAGGAAAGTCATTCCATAATTCTCAACAGTTTCATAAAAATACAATTTAAAAGAGGCGTTGTTTGTACTACAACTATGTAAAACACAGTAGCATCAATATAAGCATAATCTTACAAGACAGAGCAAAGTAAAATAAGTTCAATTATTAATAAAATGTTAAATTGTTGTATATGCACATTACTACATTTCTAATAAATGGCATAAATAAATGCTTAAATTGCAATCCCACTCACATTTTTCCCTCATGAGGATCCTCCTCCCTGCCCTGGTGAGAAAAAACACAGTTGTTAGTAGGACAGAACCCCCAGCCTGACGGTGACAAAAATATACTCATGATTTATCATCTCTTGAAAAAGTAGTGCATAGGAGGAACTGGTATGGTCCTAAATCAAGCAAAATACAGAGATTGCACATTTTACACTTGTTTGTTTCATGACATTTAAAAGAAAAAAAACATACCACTTCTTCCACGAGATCTTCCACAATAAGACCCTGCTCCTCTGTACGGACATTGGACACCCACATCCAGCCGTCGTCCAGTTCATTGTGAACAATAAACATGTCCCCTTTAAGGAAGCTGCACGAATAGAGAAAAACATTAATACACAAGCTGCAGTACAGATGAAACACCAGCAGAGGGCTCTAGTGTCTTGTCCTTGACATATAACACTAAACTGTAAGTTCCATGAAATTTTTGTCTAAAAAATGTTTTACAGTTTGCACTTTATTATTTCATTAGAAAGGCATTTAGACCTGCCCACCTGATTTCGTCAGTATCTGGCACTTTGGTGTATGGAAGAATGGCCCTTACTCTCCTCCTATCTTCAACAGGCTGTGAAACATAATTCATAATGCAGAAATAAGTTATACAATGCACATGATAAAACTGTCCCTTTTATGGAGGCAATGACAGGGCAGTGGTCTAGAGGTCTCACTTGAACAGAGTTCAATTTGCCCACCATATACAGTTATAGAAAAAGTTGAACTGCTTATTAAATTAAACTATAACAAATAACAGGGGCAGTAAAAACCTATATAGCCCACGTAGTTCTGCACCTCACCTCTGGGGGCGCCACTGGAGACAGCAGTTTCTCTCCTTTGAGCAGACAGGACACATAGCTATAGTAACCAATCAGGTCTGAGAGGGACGAAAACCGCCGCCCACCAATGTAATAGTCCCCACACATGGCGATTATCCTGAAACATTCATTCATATTATATTAACACAACATGACATCAATCAAATTGCATTTAGTTTGTAGAGCCCAAAATCACAACAGCAGTTATCTCACAGGGCTGAAATCATACAGTCTATGCTTTAAAGATATACCAATATTGGATTACTACTGCACTACTACTACAATATGACTCCTGAGGGAAAAAAAACAAAAACTAAAAGTTTGGCTCCATCGTCTTTTGTCATCTACTTCTTTCACATATCATTTTTTAAATCTGCTTTACACATTTTCATTGAGCATCAAACAGCGGCAAACATCCTTACCACAAAACAATAGCATTTTCCATATGATATACAGTTAGGATTCTTGAACTTACTACAGTTACATTTTGAAGTTCTTAGTTTCTGTATCAAGTATGACTAGAAAGTTACAACAAACTAAAGATAAATATGGTAAATTAATGACCCCATTTTAATCCCATTTAGAGTTAAGTCATAGTTGAGAAAAACTAAAAAATTGAATGAGGGTTTTCAGACAGAACAAAGTGATTTGAGCAGTGAACAGATGGCAGACTGTTGAGCAGACTGTTTTGCTTGATGTGTCTTGTTTGATCTCCAGTGAGGGAGAGAAACAGCCCTACGGTGAGGCTACTGGTCCAGAGCAGTGTCCTCCTTTAGCTCATGTTTAATGAAAGGAGGCAGAAGTAGCACATGAGTGACTATGTATTCTACAGAAAACTACCATCACTTCTGATGAGCCCGCTAAAGTGTACAGAGACATGGCAGTATAAACAGCCTCAGACACACGAGCTACTTAGACTTTCACATTTCACAAAGTTAGATTATGATTTCTTCTCACACCACCCCATGAATGGTCATAATTAATAAGCATGTAAAAGGTTTGCATAAGATAATTTTTATTTAACCATGACATTTTAATTTTACTTTACTATGCATGCTGATATTATATGTACTATTTTTGTTAGTTAGATTTGCGTAAAATCATTAAAGCACATTTCTCTGAACTTTGTTCGTTGACAAAGGCAATAAAGCTTTTCTGATTTTCAAAACTACTCCAAGTTCAAGTACAATTTGCAAAGTAATAGACTAGTACATTTACAGAGATCAGCAATTTCACTGTTTATTTCATGGTTTATTTGCCCTCATTTAGGTAGGTTTTTACATAATACCAGATCTCATTATACTCCAGTTTGAGTAAAAGATGAATCATGAACATGCCTACTTTTTTCCTACTAAAAACTTGTCTGCAGTTTGAGTAACTGCAGTATGGACTTCAGCTCTCAAAAAGGACCAAAAACTAGACCATGAGCAGGTGTGAACATGAATATACTCGTGTTTGATACTGGTGTTGTCTAATGGCTGGACTTGCCTGAAGTGGTTGACCACACTGGTCATGCTGAGAAAGGACAGGACAAAGGAGCCAGGCCGCCGGTCACTCTCCCTGATGAGGTAACTGCCGGGGGTCCGGGCCTGGCGCAGGCGCTCCTCAGCAATGGTGCGGTCCAGCTTGCCATGGTACCACCTGGAAAACACAAAACACACACATTTCAAAGTCTTTACAGAGAATATGAATCTAAATTACATCTTTTATATTTGATACAATTATCTGTTAAGGGTTAAGAGTTTTGTGATATTTGGTGTTATAAAATTGTTTATTTGAAGCTATCCGACAGTAAAAGAAAAATGCCAAAATGACGCAGAAGGAGCTCCAAGTACAAAACAAACTCAAAGCTAGTGCTGGGTATTGCCAAGGACGTCACAACACAATAGGTATCCTGACACAGGGTCCATGATACATATCCCGTGACCAAAACACGCATATCAATAATAATGAAATGCATTGTCATTTACTGCCCATGACTGACAAACTTTATATCAGAAAACAATAGATTTTTGATGATTATTATAAAAATCTGCTGATCTTAAAGTTAGGTTAAGTTTTATTATAAATGTATAACTCAGTTATTATACTATATCTCATTAAAAGTACTGCAATACAGCATCCTGCATATATGTATTACCAAGAAGATTGTATATTGCCCTATGGATATTTTTAGTACAAACCTATTAAAAACTGCTTTCAGAGAAAGGTACTGAATAATATTTCTGCGTCTTTGTTGTTCATTTGAAAGTCCAGTCACTTTTTGTGCTTTACTTGAACCTAAACACATTTACAGTGGACACGTTTTAGCACTATTCTGATGGACTGCAAAGCTATCATCGGATTCTTACTGGGATTCTCTGAATTACTTAGTGCTTTTAACATACAAGACACGAGTGCTAAAACAAATACTGGAAGGGCATCTTTATTTAAACTGTTGAGAAGTTCCAGTTCCCTTAAAAGTGTGTGTCTCTCTCTACAGTGTGGGAAGTGTGGTTAAATTTTCAGAAGGTGAGGTTGAACTTGACAGGCTTTAGCGACTTCAAGTAAAAAATTAACACGCTTTTTTCCAAATTTAGGCCACTGCATGTGCTTCTGTGCAACACACAGCCAAGGGAGTACTGGAGAATGAGGTACAGAAGAGCAGTGTAAGTGCTCCCTACTGAAGGTCAGGAGTGAGGTATGAGGAAAACTGCCTCTATAACACCACAAACTGGGAGAAGCTCAGGTTAAAGCAGACACTTTAAGGACGGTGCAGAGTTAAAGTAGATAGAGGTGACATCTCAAAACAGGAGTGAAAGCAAGGCCAATCCTCCAGGTGTTTGAGAATTCCAAAACCCATCACATTGGTGTCATTGAGGCACGAGCAGTGCCATAAAATTTCACTCAAGTTTTTGACAGTGACTATATACTATACAAGGCACTGCAGAGTATTTTTAGTTGCCAATATACATTAAAGATCCTGTAACAAAGTCTGCCCTTATCTGTCAGAGGACTGCAAAGTCTATATATTTTGCTATAATACAGTGTCCTATAAGGGTTTGAAGAGTCACTAAGGCTGTTTATCTGCAGTCAGTGGGAGCAGAGTCTTGATAGTGTTGATAGAGCTGTGTGTCTGTCGCTGGAGGAATGCCTAGTCGTGTCGGTACATGATCCGAGCACAGCTCAGGGATACAGGGGTTCTGCTGTGCCTATTTGGATTTCTACTTCAGCATAGTTAGAAAAATCATAACTGTACATACTACAAATACACAAAGCTATACAAGTAAACACTGTCAATTAAAGTAGTTTTCAGAACCTTGTAAAAATTAAGTTCCCCTCTGAAATATCAGTGTCATCACTAAGCTGAGCCAGTCTCTTCTGCTCTATACACATCTTACTCTTAATGTATTTTAGTAGGTCACTGAAGCTTCTTGCACACAAATAAAAATAATATCCTCATCCTAATGCCTTGGCTAACGTTGTCACAAAACTAACATTTCAAATTTGATTTCCATGCTAAGAGAAATACTCAATGCTTTATACAGATACACCAAAGGGACGTCACAATATGATTAGACCCCTGACAAAACAACTGCGAAGTCCTTCATTCACATGGTCTAATAGATCCCCTCAGCTGTAGTATTCACAGCAAACCTTCAGAACGATTAAGTAATGCTAATGTGACATAAACAGTCATATAAAAGTACCTTTTGGAGTGTAGATTTAATTGAAATGCCTTCATTTTGACTCCTTAATACTGTCAATTAATCCAATAACCTTGGTATATGTATACCCTAATGAAAACTGCAAACCCTTAACAGAATGTCATTTTCAAGACAAAATAATTGTGGTTTCTTTATTACAGCCATGTGGTATTCTTCTACTTCTGATCAAGAGGAAATGCAAAATTTGGTCCTATTCTTTCAGTATAGAGACCTGCTAAGATGAGTATCTAGTTTCAAAACTAGATATTGATTTTTGACAGGCCTAGTGGCTATTAGTCTTTATCACAGTCTAGTTTATCATATTGGCTGTGATGTTCTAGTTTGACTTACGCTGAATTGGCTCTCTGCTGCATCTCTGTCTGCCTCACACGCTCTGCCCGCTGCCCTGATGCTGCCCCTCATCCAACCCAGACACCTCCATGTCCGAAAGCACTACCATGCTGTGCCCCAAGTGTTGCTGGGATACGCCTCTCTTCATCGTCCCATAAAGTCAGTCCAATAGGCAGCCCAATATAGAAAGGTAGACTCCATAGTATGAGCTTGAAATGACTAATCCCATTTGGTAGAGAAGCAGTTGGATAAAAAAAAAAAACCTGGGCTAACTGTAGCGCTGCGTCTTATATCCTCTGACTTTCTCTAACTCTCCTCCGACTCTCAAAGCAGAGCATCATGAGCCAGAGCCAGAGCAGCCCATTGGTTTGTGAATGAGCAGGACCGCACACACAGGGAGTGGCAGTCTCCATAGTGACAATGTGGTTATTACATTAAAGTATGGCTTTTAACATTGTATATAAATAGGACAAATGTTTAATTACTGCCATTTAAAAAGAAATCATATTTCTTCCTTACAAGTTTGAGCTCTGCTCCAAATGAAAATTTACTGACAGAACGTTAATCGATTAAAAAGACCCAAACTGATCAGTATTTGCAATAAGAAATTATTGGATCTCCATTAAAATTATATTAATTTCACCATCCTACATTAAACATATACAGACATAAACAAACCCATGCACTGTAACTGTACTCCAATCTAGCCAAAAAATAGTTTAATCCCATCTGACCAAACTTGACTTACACATTAACTTTTGAGTTTATATTGTACCATCCCCACAACCTCAGTCTCAGTGGACCTGGACATCAAGCTGGTCAGTCGCAGTGATAAGAGGCCTCCCTGCTTTCTAAATGTGCCATCTGCCATCCGATAGTTAGCTAAATGCCTTAGTTTTTTATTACATTTTTTCACTTGACAATTGTGGAACAAAAAAATAAAATATAGATAAAAAATAAATAAATATAGATTTAAATTAAATAAAAAGATTTGTGGGGGTAAATATCTGACCAAAGTTTAAGTGGCTGAGAAGTCTTGAAAACAGGATGCAGGAGAGAAAAGCAAGCAGAGTGTGGCTATTGGAGAGGCATGACAGGATATGGCAGAACCTACTGAAACGTATGGAGCTTCCTTATCAATACAGCATATACACAGAGGATACAAGGCTCAGGCGATAGTGTTCTATAGTCTGTAAATTAAGCACAAATTGTCTGAAATGGAGGAATACTGGATGCAATGCCACTGAGCACTACACTCATAAATTACAGTAAGGCTGTTATTAATTTGACGATGACTTAGGCACCCACTATTTTCTGAATGATGACGTTCCAGGAGATAAGAGGAGGTGTGACAGCTCCACTTTCATTTTCACAGTTGATCTAAGCACACAGTTGGACACGTCCAGCAGAGTGGAGCTAGGTTAAACTTCTGAGTCCTCCTCTGTGTTTGTCGTCTGTAACAGAACTCTGAGAGATACAAGAGGAGCCCAGGTGCAGAACGCACTGAAGCCCAGTCTCCCCAGGCAGTCAGCTGGGAATAAAAATACTACTACTATCCAAAGTACACCTGTCTCATGCTGCTGTATGCATGGACAAAATGGGTCAGTAAAATACAGATATTGACATATGGACTTGGTTTTTAGATCAATGTATTTGTTGTTTTTGTTTAATTATTGGCCATACATGACATGAGTTGAGATTATGACAGCAGCCGAAGAGCTGAGGCAGAAAGGACACTATACAGTAACTAGGCCCTCCCCGATCTCACACTGTGTCACATTCATAAACTGCAACGTACGCCTCCTCTAGTCCAAGCAAGCGTTGTGGGCAGTTTTCGGGGCGTGTCCATACCCACTTTCTTTGAGCAGTGTGGAAGGCCCAAGAAACATTTTTGTATGTAGAATGTAACTGACTGATTTCTAGTAACTATAGTAACTGAGTGATCAATGGAGCAGAGATAGTGATTGATCAGATTCATTTTTGCTCCATCTGGTTCCTCATGATCTGGGTTCTTGGTGCTTGTGGGTGCACCTCCTCACCAAACTTTCTGTTAGAAAGTCCAGGCAGTCGTCCAAAACTCCTCCAATATGCAAAGATTATTTCAAAATAAACAAAAGAAAAATGGAGAAATAAAATGTATTTTGTTTTGTACTTTGAACTCTCTTATGTTAAATACCATACTTGGACAGAATGGATAAAGAGAATTCCCAGACCCACGAAAAACCTACAATCTACCTGCTACATCCTTCTATTTCTGTTTGCAGCAATTGTAAATATAAAGTATAGTTTTAAACAAATCAAGAAGTAGTTTGCAAAGAAAAGAAGAAAAATATGTTGAAAATTCCAAGTAGAGTAATTATTTTTGAGAGTTCCATATTGATCACATCACACTAAGGAGAATTCTATCCAAAATTTGGGTACTATTTACACATAAGAAATACTGTTTTCTGATATTTTAAACATTTTCTTTTTTTTGTCAAATAAAATTTTTACCTAACCTGTCAGGAGCACTTTAATAATTTACAAATGTATATGGGTTAAACTTTTCAATCATACGAAATTAAATTTACATAAAAGAGTTATTTAGATATATAGTTTAGGTTTTTGTACCGTTTATTTGATTGAAAAATGCAGAAAAACTTGCATCCTTACTCTGGCTGGACTTGTATCTGCACAAACACTCCTTCTAACCTGGCCCTATCAGGACGTTCAAACACACAGTACAATTAAATTGCAGTTCATCAGAGCCATATTGTTTTTACGGAAAGTAGTGAGTGTTTAGTCTTTCTACTTTGCCTTCTTATACATGTGAAAATGGTTGCCAATGTTGTGTGAAATGCCGTTTTTTGCTAAATAATGTCACACACGGCATTCAGTACAGGTACAGAAGCTTTTGAGTGGCTATTTATGACTTTACACACTTACAACAGACTGTTATCAGTCTAAACGCTAGAAGCGCAAAATAATTTGAAAACTTCATTCATATTTAGTGCATCACTATTAACACAAGGAAAGCTTCAGACACTTACCAGTTGTGTGAAACATGGGAACGTTCACAAGTACGCCAGTAGGCATGGACATGTTTTGTTATGGTTTGCTTGGGGCTTCACCTTTGCCTTCTGACCAACACCACAATGCTGGTCTATGATTGGTACTGTCTGTGGCCCATGAGCAGCTGCCAAGATGGACTTTCATGAGTTTGTAGAGTCACAAAATTGTGAGAATCCATCTTGCTGCAGAAGATTAGCCTCCTCCTGCTTGTTTCTATGGAAATATTATTCTTTTAGCTATAATATTCTTGCTTGGCAAATCTGGAATGATATCTCTCTGTATTTTTAATACAGAGGAATATTAGTGTGGTCCCCACTTGCTCCGTTTAGTCTCAAGCCCGGTCAAGCATAATCTTGCAATCAAATTTGTCTTTTTCAGCCCACAGTAGGGTACTCTAAAAACTATAAAAAAACTAGAGGAAACTGTGTGCTCAGAGAACCTCCTTGTGGAGAGGAGGACAACCACAATCCAGCCCTGTCATTTATCATGTGTACAAGTCATTCTTTTAGCAAAAACTGACTTTTTATGATTGTAAAGATTTATCCTAAGATGAATTGTCAAATATCCAAAAACACAAAGCTGGTGAAATCTACAAATGTGTGTCCTGAAGCTACATGTGACTCACTGAACACTGACGGATGTGCTTTGCCTTAATCCTTGTTTATTTAATCAGGGCTCATTTTTAGGACACAACTGTCTGCAGGAGTCACCAATAACACTTAACTCCAGATATGCCCAGAGAGAGACAGTTATGTACAAAGATTATATTCATCCTTCAGGTTTAGTTTTACTCTGATCGATGTGGTGGGGTATGAAATAGAACAAAATAAGCATAGCTAACAAACTGCATATCAGTAAAAGCAGACAGCTCTTCCCTTGTTTAGTTGAAAATCTAGGAAGTGGCTATTAATATGCAACTGCGGGCAATATTTCAACATCACCACAACCAATCCTCAGAAACCACAAAAGCTAAAAAGAGGAAAGGTAAGGGGTCTCTTTAGTTGACCTTCTGTTTGTAAGTAAAGCATGTAGGAAATTAAACTCTAGTACAATATCAGTAGCCTTACTGTGCCAATAGTACAAATAAACAAAAAAGTACAAGTAAAAAGAGATTAGCTCAACTCTTCACTTTGGTTGGAAGGTGTTTAAATATTGAAAAATGTATCATCACAGTTAAAAAAACACCCATTTCTATTTACACATTACAGCTCCTTAGAGCTGATTCCACATTAACTCAATTTCTAATTGTATGATATCAGTACTTTTTAATGAGACCAAAACAAAAAGGGAAGGTTTTAGTTCAACTTCATGTTTAAGGTTAAGGTCTGTTCTGCCCTACATGATAAAGAGGTAGTATACAGACATCATGTTGTTTTTTACATTATGAAGCTGCTTGCTTTCTTGTGTTAAACTTAAAAGTTATTGTCAATGTCTTGCAAATATCAGAGCAATCCTCAATGAAATATTAGACAGGCACCGTATTTACTTAAATACTCTACTTAATTTACTTAAATACTGTGGGTGCTAGATTAACAAGTGCTTTCCAAATATTCCACTTCAGGGACACTGATTCAGTTAACCCTGATGAGTGTTCAGATAAAGCACATAGACTCTGACACAGAGTTAGATGCAGCATCTTTCTAGGCCTGTGCTCTTGGTGGTACTTACTGGTTGGTGGGAGGTGCAGAGAGTGGGAACACCACCTCATCATCATCCACCCATTCTGGTCCATCCGGCAGGTCTCCTTCATCCAGCGTGCCGCCGAGCCCCCCACAGCCCACAGAGGGGGGAGGAGGCGGCAGTGGGGGGAAAACACTGGGTCCGTCCGGGCAGGACGATGTGGGTGAGACCCGGCTATCAGGGCCATCCGAAGAAGGAGAATAACACAAGCTGCCCCCGCTCCCTTGGAAATGTCCACCTCCCCCGCCACTCCCCGAGGCGGACAGTGCTGGTCCGGAGTCCCCACCAGGCATGGTGAAAGCGAGGCTCATGTCATTCACAGAGTCCGGGGATGTGTTTGAGTTCTGACGGAAGGGCTGCGCTGCTCCTTGTCCCAAATCAGACACTCGCACTCTGGACTTGGGATAGTAGGGGAAAGGGGCCGTCTCCGGGCCTCCTCCACCAGTCCCTGTCTTGACTGAGCCCGTATCCTCATTGCTCACCTCTGCTGCCATCATTTTAAAAAGATCTGTAGAGGGGAAAAAGTCCAGAAGGGAACCTGCCCTTCCCCCCTATTTCCACAACTCTCCTTCAGCGTTTGGGCTGCGGAGAAACAACACAAAAAGTTTGAGATACGCGTTCAGCCAGCCTGCTAACATTAGCCACACAGCTAACAGCTTATGGACTGCTCCAGCGGGCGTTAGCTTCACTCCGCAATCGTTTGCAACTGAAGACAAGCTAATGCTAACAGAATGGCTAACTGCAGCCTCGAGACACTTGATGAGTTTTTCTCGCTATCCCTTCATGGTTTATAAACTTTAAAGTGTACGGAAAGGAAACAAACACATACTTACACTTTAACAATTTCAAGAAAAACATAAAGGCACAACTATTTCCGCGTGTGTGCGTCGGGACTTCACCCTCGACACCAGACTGTCCACTTGTCGGGGAATGTTGTTTTATTGTCACTGCTGTGTGTAATCCAGTCTTTCCCAGTGTTGTTGTTTCCTTTTCCCCAGACTGTTGACGTCTTTCATTTAGTACAAAAATGACAGCATCCCGACGTCAAAATTTCCGAGATAACATTTTTCCACGAACTATCTGCTGAAAGTATATGTTTAGTAACGCGTGCGGGTGAACTTCGTCTTTATTTCTGGTTTGAGGCTGGTGCTAGTGGTTGCCTACTGCTGCGCTTTGCTCTCCCCTCCCTCCTCTTCCCACTCGGCCAGAGTCAGAGTAGGCAGAGCCAAGTGAACACCGAGCTCCTCCGCCTAATCCAGGCATACATCCAACACTTCTTTGATCAATAACTTATTCCTAGAATTTCATACAACAATATGGCACACAGGCTACAAATTCCCTCTAATCTAAGCAAAGTTAGACACAGAATATTATTAACCTAATGAACTGCTTAATCGGACCATCGTGTCGACCCATTCAGCGAAGGTAAAGAAGGTAAGAAGTAAAGTTGATGTAGTCTACTGTGAACCTTGAAATGGCTACATTAGGTTTTTTTCTTTTACTTACTGGTAATATCCCAGCGTTCTGCGTCAAACAATGTTTATATAGGCTAGAATAGATCACAGCCTACTTTATACTGGCCTTACAAATGTCCTGGGCTTTGTAATTGTCCTGGGTCATTTTACCACCACACCAACCACCATGTTTTTGTTTTTTTTCTACTCCAGTCCACTGGCAGAGTAAAGGTCAGAAGAAAAGCTCTGGATTACTGTGGAACTGCATTGCATCTACCTCAAAAATAAATAAATAAAATAAAACAAAAGTACACTTGCCAAGGTAGGCCTACTTTTATGGTTGAGGCTCATTTTTTTTGCCTGAAATGTCCCACAGTGTAGCATTAAACTGATCTATCTGGGATCTAATCAATTACAGGCATTTTAATTATGTACTCTTATTGTATAGTCTCTGTAAAAGCTGCATACTCTTGATTGTATTTGTTAGTTCCTTTGCTAAAGACTATGTTATGTTTTGCATCTTCCTCTATTTTTCTTCTTTTTGTTTTATGCATGCTAAAATGGTGTGTATAGGATGTCATTTGAAACCTTGCATAAACTGTGTGTAGCGTAGTGTTATATTTGTTTTTCTTTCCATACATGCCCACTTGTCTGGTAATATTCTAATTAGGGCTGCCTGCTTGCCTTAGATTTCCTCTGGCATTGCCTTCAGTGTGTGCAATATGTGCCAAACCTACATTCATGTGTCATAGTTACTAATGTGTGTTGGGCTAGCTCCACAGTCTGCTGCTCCACACCTCCTGTAGCCCCAGAGGGAGTACACGAAGGCAGATAAGGAGGCTGGTGTGCTGCTATTTCTGTATGATGTATAAATATATTAATGTTAATATTAATCTTTCCGTTAGCAGAGGTAAGTAGTAGTGGGTTTAGGCCAGGAGAGAAAAATGCATGGTTGCCATAGCAATTAACAATTCAAAACTATATACTATTCTATTTCATAATGTTTTGATGGCAAAACGTGACCTATAAACAGGAAGTTGAAACCCACAGATGCATACTTTTTGTTATTTTACATGTTTTCTCTTCTTTTAAAATGTGTCCAGTATTGTATATTTATGATGTATATTTAAGTAATTATGCCTAAACAGTTATTAAGTAGCATACTTGTGTTCTATCATTTGTGAGACTCTTAAAAGAAAAAAAAAAAAAAAAAAGTGTTAAAGTTTTTGCGTTCCCCTTCCTCCTTGCCAATCATATTACACATTACAGTGCACACTTTTGAAAGGTGAAATCAAAGGTTAAAACTTGTTTCCTCTTTTACCTCACACACAAACCCACACCACGGCCAAAATTTACTTTCATAGCATTGTACAGGGCTGTTTTTCACTTTCGTTTTATAGGGCAAGTGGGGGAGTTTGCAGCTGCCACTTGAATGCACATATGGACAGAGTAGTGGTGAGATGGGGGCAGGGGGAAGTAGCACACTTGGACCCCTCAGTCACACTTTAACACTGTGATGGGGAGAGAAAATGGGCAAAACACTCCAACAACTATGCTATGATAAGACAGACAATTTTTTGTATACATTCTCTTGAAGAATGTACAATAAAGAAGCTAAGATATAAGTTACATATTTTAAACTGTAAACTGTATCTAATAGTATTGAACCCATAATAATTGGATATAATGGTACTTATAATTTCATTTAACTGGTGTGGATGATTAAAATGTAAAAATTCAAACTGTGTGAAATGTTTAAATTGCAGTTCTTATAATTTGTTTTGTCTCAGTGTCATTTGAGGATAGCTGCTTCAATTCCCTGAAGCATATACTTTTGCAAAATGGAGGGCCTCTGTGTAAAATTACAAGCAAAAGAAAAAAGCCAAATGAATAAATATTTCAAAACAGCTGTCTCTGCATTTTGCTTTTAAATTAAATTGCTGAAATAATGTATTAAAATCTAAATGTATATTGACAGGTACCCATTATGTTGTGTGTCGATCTTAAAACTTAATTTCCTGCTCTATGGGCTCATATTGTTTCTATAGATGCTTGTCCAGATAGGGTCCAGAGGGAATTAAGAGCACTTGAGCACACGTCAAATGACAACTGATACTCTACAGACAGCCTACTATTACAACTAATGGACTACATGAATGGGAAGAACCGCAGTGGGCTTCAGTATTTTAAAAATGACCCCTACAAGTTAATAAGGCTAATTTACTTGGCACACACTCACACACATAATGGTCACTGCTTTTCATTTTATGTGACAACCTATTTTTATTTCTTCTGCAGGATCAATATTTGCGGACAACATTGTGAAGAATATAAAAGTTAAAGATATGAAAATGCACTGGATGGCTTGGTGCCCATTCTTGAAGTCAGGATGAGATCAGTTTGGCAGCAGCAGACCTGGGCGGATCCTTGTTCTTGGTAAGTCATGAGGGATGGCCTGCTTGTCTCTGGGGATCAATGAAAGTGGCTTGTCATTGGAGTTACTTCCTGTATAAAGTGAGTTACAAAAATCAGCTTTATAATAAGAGTGCAGGTGAGACAAAGAACGGAAGCAATGACATAAATGCACTCTCTTACCAGGTCATTGTGATGTTGTGGTACATTACTCACGGACTCATTCTAATCTTGCTGATGGGTTAATCCTGAGACAAATGGTTATATTTAGCAATAATATTACTACACACCATGTAGAGGGCTCTATTGGAAAAGATATGTGCTGAGCCTAGCAAATAATACCCATCCATTTAAATGCTATAATGATGTCAGTGACCTTAGCAGCCATTAGTCAATTACTAAAAACAAGAAGGATATTACCATATTACCATAGCATAATAATAATCTTGTTGTATTCAAAATACTGCATGCTTGTATATATTGTACTCAACACTCCATTTTTTAATCTACATTGACTGTTGCTTTGATCACTTCTGGTGGTAGAATTAATACATCTCAAAATCACAAACCAGTGTTCTCTGGATACATGTAAAAGTGAGTATTCAGGATCCATGGCTTAAATGAGATAATAACAAACTCCTAACATGCATAGGATAAATAAAGTAAAATATATCTCGCCTGAACATAGACCATAATGTATCACAAACCAGTCTTTGCCAGTCCTAAAATAAGATAGATGGAGGGACATTATTATAGCCAGCCTGACTCACTAAGCGTTTACTAATCCAGGTGATGGGTTAATCTATGAAACAATAGAAACAATGCATGCACAAACACAGTAAAAACCCTACGTGATGAGCCTGGTAAATACTGTAATAACTATCCTTCCCTATGATCTAAGCAACCATTAGTCAAATAGCCTTCTCTGTGCAACAGGAAGTGCACCGCTCGGCTCTTTTACTGTTGATGGCTTCAGTGCATCGGTGTGGTGCATCAGGTGATGAGTCACAGTCTAAATGAGGTTATCCTTCTATGCAGACATACTGTGAGCGCTGACACCAGAAGCTACTTACTGTCCAGCCATTCCAGCCACACAATATGACATCATTGTAGGCATGAATATGTCCCAGTGAGCTATGTGTCTGTATTTTATATATTATGTATTTTATATATTTGTATTAGTGCAATATCATAATATGTAAAAGCTATATACAAGCTAGAGCTGCAAAAATATATTATTTTTCTGATCAATTCATCTAACAATGATTATTTCAATTACTTGATTTGTTTAGATTGCAAAAGGCTTACAAATATGAAATTTTTATTACATTTGAAGCTCATGATTATTTGATTACTAAATTAGTTGACAATTATCTCAGTTAGATTAGGTGCATTTAACTGATTCTTTTTCATTTCAGCCCCACAAGAAATGAAAACCTTTTAACTCAATCAGTGCTGTAAATTGTACTAGAAGACTCTCAGGTTATCCAGTTATGACAAACCTGTAGAATACTGTCGCACTTCATTATATAGTTGTATCATAGTTTTCAAATTAAATGAGTCAGTTAGTATCAAAATGTGTCTTATTCTTCTTCTCACGTCCCCAAATGTCCTCTTAGTTCCACTTCACCTCAGAGTGAGCAGCAATAGCGGCCAGTAAGCGTGTGTCTGTCAGCCCATCAGTCTGTCCCCTCCCCTGTGCTTTTAGATCTCCCTGTTTAATTTATGAGCTTCCTGTGGCTCCTGTCATGTCTCATTGCGGCCAGAGGAAGGCAGTGAAAATAATGGAGCGTCCCCAAAGACCTGTCCAAAGCACACACCTCACCATGTGGTTGCATAGAGCGGAAGGACAGGGCATGAGTTAGTGTTTGCATGCTCCTTTCACACATATGTCATACGTGAACATTATTTTAACTCTTACAGAAAACAAGAGAGGTAGTCACACTTGAATGATATTTGTGTGATCAGAGATATTATGATGTCTTGCAATGATGCAGCTTCTTATGGTTAATAGGCATACTATTTTGCTTTCAGGGAGTGCTAAAATACAAGTCAGTGAAAAGGTATATCTTGGGCTGTAGCTCATTAAAAAGATTCTTCATTGCCTATACATTCCCTCAATGAATTGGGGGGATGTAAAAAGCTCTCAAAATTAATAGGATTTTGCACAGACATGATGAATACTAGTTGCAAGTGAAATAAGCAGATGAAACTGTCCAGTCCAAAATTCTAGTTAACTCACAGCCCATTTAAGAAAGGCTAGTATTCATTAGCTGTATTGTAAATTACAAGTTGGATACTTGTTATACAGTTTA